TAAGGCTTAGGGCTTAAATCTCTATTGTAGACTGGGACTTAGGGCCAGTTTCACAAACGTCGGTTAGCTGCTAACCGAAGGTTAATTGATTCTCTGTCTCTTCTTAGATAACAAAATAGAAAAAGATAGGAAGTTGACAGAACTCTGGTTAACAGTTAACCGACGTTTGTGAAACTGGCCCTTAGTCCCAGTCTACAATAGAGATTTAAGCCCTAAGCCTTAAGAAATTGACTAATCACAGTCGCGCATTCTTCTCATACTTGACCGTGATTGGCCAATTTCTTAAAGCTTAGGGCTTAAATCATCTATTGTAGACTGGGACTAACGGGGATGTTGGAGTAATTCTGCACTTTTTGCATCTTTTGCTCCTAGAACTCATGAAAGTCAAGTTATTATAATTTATTTAAGTGAATAGAGCAGAATCTAAATTCACAGCCCTATTATCTCATATTAGGAGGCTATTACATACTAGAGGACTCTTCTCTAAATATGGGATAGCTTCGGCTCTTATTCAGTTATGCGTTTTATGATTTGCCACTATAAGTGAGATATGTTAAACTGTCTTGAGAATTTATTTTGCGACACTCGAGGAGTGTCACATTGTTCTAAAATTGAATAATGGGTATAAGAATCGGTCGTTAACATGAGAATAAGAGGTTTCCAATACTTGGATGCTGCGCTATTGTCCCACTGTGATTGTCACGGCGGTGCGGCAACATTATCCAGCCTGGTAACAGGATGGCTGGCTGCCTGCGGTTGGTAGGATTTCAATAAGCTTTCTTTAAGTATGTCTAATTATCATACATCGTGAATGTTCGCGCCTCCGCCTGCGTAGTGGAAGATGCGAGCACGTGGCGCGTGACGGTAAGCAAACACAGCGGCAATCGACGATTTTAAAGTATCTTAGTCCGCGTCCGCCGCGTTGAAATATAGTTTTATACGCCATGTATTTGCACCTACGTACTCGGGCGTCGAGTAACGCTCGTTTTCCACCACGTGGACGCTATCGTCGTGCCGGGACGCGCGACGAGATAAACGCGATTCTTGTCGCGCGGCGAATTTTTACAAGTACGTCGCGAGGTAATAGAAACGCACGACCGTGTTTCGCCTCGGAGAACACGCAACTGGTATATGCAAATTTTATTTTGCGCGAAAATGGAAGGATTACACGTCGAGATTAACGGCTCCTCTCTCTTCGGCGAGCGTGGGATAGGCGTTCGCGGGATAGTGGCTCTTCCAGAAACTAGTTACTTCGGCGGTTATGCCGAACGAACGGGGAAGAGCCGAACGAGAAGCTGCGGGATGGCAGCTGCGTAATTTTTTGTACAGTAATGTCAAAATTATTTTGTCCAGGGTACACGTTTCGATTGTCACACAAATGCATTTTACTGCAGATATTTGAAAAAAAAAACGTTGCATAGTTCGTGTTAATCGCGAAAATATCTTTGCCGTAAATATGCATTTGTGGTGTAAAAATAAACATTTATCATAAAAATAATTATACAAAAATATATGTATATATATATGTGTATATATGTGTATATATCGATGTACTGATAGAACAGAATAACTGTGAACAGAGGGAACGTAATTACAAGGAAAAAAATGTATATTAGGAAAACGACTACACGCGAAAATGCAAAATTTTTGGTTTTGTTTGAACTCATTGTTGAATACACAATATTATGATTAAACTTTGTGCAACGCAAAAGAGATCGTATAATATCGAAAGAACTATCTAGAACCCTATTTTCCATAGACTATTATCATACGTATAATGAACAGTTTTTTATACCAATTCCCTTATGTTAAGTATACACTCGCGAAATAAAGCGGAATAAGATATCGTAATAAGAGGCTTGTTTTCTATTGCTACAGTATTAGAGTAAGAAAAGTATTTTTTTCTCGTTCTAGCTTACTGCTAGTTCACCAGCGTTCAATACAGCAATAGAAAACAAGCCTATTGTTCTGTTTTAAAATTACTCTTCGAAAAACAAAAATACAATATTCTTTCTACAAACGTAGAATTATCCTTTAAATGTTTTGGGTGTGTATCTATTGCGCATAACCGTGCACAGCTCAACTCTGTGAAGCCACTATGTTGACGTTTAAGATTATCTCTTTCTACGTGCAAATACGCTAATTTATTTGTAAATAAACCTAATACATACAAAACATATTCGCAGATAAATTAAATATATATTAGACACTAAAATGTAATTCCAATCTAATAAATCTTCTTCACGTTTAAAATGTTTACGGAAGTGTTGTAGAGAACAGAGAAAATAATGTGAGCACCTTGTAGGTCATTTTCCAGGTGTTCACCATTATTTTATCCATCCTGTATATGTATGTATGTATGTATATTTAAGTATGTACACTCATCCTTCAATATACACGGTAGTTTTTCATACATGAGATTTTTTATGCGGTAAATACATTCTTCAGTTTACGCAATCCCATTTTAAACAATATATCTTTTCGTGGCACTTATTGAAATTATTATTATATATTAATAAGCCGAAAGTTAGTTTGGTTATAATTATTATATCATTTCTTAGTTGACTTCCCTAGTAGCACAGTGCATTGACCAAACATTGGTTAAACATTGGTCCACATTCAACTTATTCGTATAATCGACATCAAAATTACTTTTCCGCTTTCATAATTATTGTTTTTATGCAAATATATGACATATTTGTACAACATATACGGAACTTTCTCTTACGGTTTTTTTGTACTTGCAATTCTCAACCGCAAAAAAATCACATGAAACAAATACTTCGTGTAAATTTAAGAAAGTGTAAGTGTAAGCGTGAATACGTGTGCACGCGCGCAAACGTCGGATCTTTTCAGAATTTTTATTTATAGGAACTCCATTCAATTGTATCATTGGGGGCCACTTGTGTGTGATTGTTTCTCTTTATCTTGGTTTTACGTAGAATATAAAGTCTGAGGTTTATTCAGTGCAATCGCAATCTTAAGTGCAAGAATCTATAAATATCTGTCAATGCAGTCACGAAAGTTATATTATTTATACATAATCGACGAGTATACTAAAAGTTATTTTCGTAATCTTACATTTATTAAATTAAATTTATTGATTGTTACCTATACAACATAACTCACACATCAAAAAAGCTGTTACATTACATTTCTTTCAGGACAAATTATAAATTATGGCCGTCGTCATAAACTTATGCTGCGATCCGTAAAAAGTAGATCGAGACTCTTGAAACTGAATATTGTGTCAATTTTGTGGCATCAACGCTGACTGATTTTTATGAACCATACCCTGGAGTGCTTCGATTTGTTAAGGTTACAATATCTTACACTTACAGACAATAATGCGTTTAATAATTTGCAGTACATTAATATGTATAAAGTACAACAAAGTATGCCTAACAGGTTACAAAAATTAGGAAAAGACTGGCAAATTAAAATTCTTTATTAATTTATAGAAAGGATAATAAAGTCAGTCCACAAATATTCGATACGAAAATATTTGCATTAAAATATATTACTCCTCACTTTGTCATTAAGGAAGATTCAATACGGATCGAAACGTTCGACGATTATTTTAGAAACAATATGTATATTGATACAAATATTTGCGCGTCAAGAATCACGATCTGGACTTTATCGACCTTCTCCCGGTTAATTTATGTAAAGGGGCCTTTCGTTTCTTTACCATAGACACGTATGTCGAATTCTACATACGAAATTATAAACTAAATAAAATATGTATGTAAAATAAAATAAAAAATTATAAAAAAAAATGAATTATAAACTAAAAATGACTAGACTCCGTGCGTTGTGTTGCTATTTGTACTCCTACAATGGTCGCTTTGTTTTTATCTCACCGTCTCAGCGCATTCTTTTCAGCAAATATCGCGTTTGTGAACAACAATATAAACTCAAAAACATTCAAATAGCAACATTCCGTTGCAGGTACAATCTATCTGTTCTGATTTTAACGATTTCCTGTATTTGCGCCATTTAATAGTTCAAATATGAAAATTTGTGATATGCCATACGTGTTTCACACACTAACAATTTTTGCAATATCGGTTACATAGCCATATACATATATATATTTTAATATAGGAACATCTATTACTCGTACAACGATTACAAATTACATTCACGATTTCTTAGTATTACAACAGAATATCCGTTCTATTGAGACCATGACAACCGTGAAGCTAGTGTTTCATTAACGAGAGCTTTAACATTGCATAGTTTGTACCTGCTGATCAGTATGCTACACGAGTCATATCATTCAGTTTTGCGTCCAAATATCAGTCTTTATAATGACGAAGTAGAAAGTTTGGGGGCAAAATTTGCATATGTATCACACGGATAAGGACACTATGGGAAGTACACTTGTACAGTACGTTCAACAGGCTTACGACATACGCCGCATATTCTCAAATTTTTCGCACACTCCGCGCATGCCAATAAATGTCCGCACGGTATAAACACGATCCGTATCTCTCTATCCTAGCATATTTTGCATAATTTTGCGTCCTTATAGTACGGTTTGTTACCTTCGATAGATTGTTCTTCGCTTCTGGTCTCACCTGATACAGCACTCTCTTCTGTAGTATTAGCTTCTTCAGATGTCGTTGAGTTTTGAGAGCTTCCGCTAGCAATACTCTCAGTATTCATCAGAGAAAGTTTCTCAACTTTCTCATCCAACTGAGTAACTGAGTTTTCCTGGAAAAACAAAAAACACAACTCGAGATTAAACGAGTGGTCGCACATTCCGCGAAATTTCATTTTATTTCATTATTTTTCAAAAGTAGAAGGAAATATTTATTACAAATTTCTACAATTCTAATAACGATAAATATATCCTTTCAAATACTCACTGTCGCGATATACTCTCCCCCAGTGATGTTGCTCACAAATGCCGTCCCTTTAATTAAAACCAGATAAGAACAGTGTTTGAACCACTTGGCGTGCTCTATCCAGGGGTCATCTTGCGGCTTCCAATCCCTCAATTCTCCGCCGCAGTGAAAGCACGACGTTTGATCACCACTTCCTGTGTAGAAGAAACCAGCGGTTGCCAGTGACTCTTTAGTTTGCGACATTGCTATAGGCCATCTGTCGAAGGAAGCTAATCTGATAGCATAATTAGCATACGCGGGATGCTGAGGTTTCAAGGCAAGCCCTGTCGATTCATACATGTGCTTCACTTTTTCTTCTTCTGTCCCTTCGTGGTCTGGGCCAGAATAAGGCCCACCCATGTATATCATATCGTAAAGACAGCTACATTCGTCATTTTCTTTAGGCACCGGTTCCGGAATCGTGCTAGGATCCGCGCCGATCGGCACGTTGCCGCACGGAATATCCTGAATAAACTTACACCTTGCGGCCCCATGTTTATGACCCTCCATCGGATTGGAGCCCGCTTGCCATTCCCATATCCCTAAGTGACACTCAAAACACCTCACCATGTCGCTTTTGCCAGTGTAATAAAACCCAGCGGCCGCGAGTGCCTCTGGCTTTACCCACGAACATGGCCAGTTCTTGAAGGTCGCCAAACGGGCAACTTCAAATCGATAATCATCGGATTCCGGTGGAAGCATAGAATCGCGTTTGATCACACCAGTCATTCTTGTAATATGTGTGTGGGGATGTGCTTCTATGGACCTGTAAAGAAGAAACAAGGGTCAGCAAGTGATCAAGTTTTACGTAATAATAATTCGTCGACAATTTTACTCAACGTGTTGTTTGTTAAATATACATTGAACAAACGATTGTAAACAGTAGAGGAAAGTCGCCTGTGTAAGGGAACGGGGGGGGGGGTATATAGGTATATATATATTCAGGATCAGGATACTAGGATCAGCCGATAAAGGAATAGTTATTTCTGTTTCTGTTTATTTATTAAGAGTACACTTTGTCGCTCGAGAGGATCGCACGCAACGACCGACGGAATGGCCACGAAGGCCGTATCACGCGGAATACACGTGATGGCTGACGCAAGAATGCACGGTACGTCGTACCTGCACTCGACTCGACTTTCAGACGAGCTAAGCTTCCTGAACACGCGACACTACTCGTCACGCAAGGTTTTCCAACTCGAACAAAAGGCGCAACTGACCGAGACCACGGTCAAACCTGAACGTCTTCTTGCTCGAAACGTCTACTCTAGACCTGTGATGCAAACTTTGGGTTCCGAGCACCATGAAAGTGTTACACTCGGTGCTCACTCACACAAGCGCAACCGTGTCCGCGCAGAGACTCTACGCAGCACACGGACACGGTTGCGCTTGTGCGAGTGAGCACCGAGTGTAACACTTTCATGGTGCTCGGAACCCAAAGTTTGCATCACAGTTTCCCGCTCGCTTCCCGCGATCGGTAGCGCCACACACGGCATACTTAAGCTGCGTTCGGGGAGATGCTATTTAGCGCTATGAGCGTGCTTTGTCCTTGACTACGTTTCCACCGAGGGTCAGAGTCGGGCTAGAGTCGGGTCATGCCCATTCTACACCTAGGGATGATCCTACTTTTACCACATCCGATACCCTTCTATACCTAAAGCTAATCCTACTTGCAGCTTATCCGAGGGAGTAGTATAAAGTGTAAAAGGGTACACTGTAGTTGTACTTTGGTACGATTGGAAACCAACCAAAGTGTAAACCTTTTACACTTTAAGGTGCCTTTTCATACGCAGCATGCAGCAGCAGCAAATTAGTCACGTGATCCAAATTCACTAGAGCATATTTGCTGCTCACGGAAAAGGAATAGCTGCAGCAGCACTGGCCGGCTAGATCGCGTGTCTGCTGCTTTGCTGTTCGTTCAATTGAACTTCACAGCGATGAAGCAAAATATGGTGAAATTTATTTTGCAGCATCTAGTAACAATTCTTCAACCAATAGCAGCGAGTTGCTGCGGCAGTATGCTGCGCATGAAATAGTACCTTTATACCACAGTATAACCA